AATAAAATAAGGAAAAAGAATCACCATTTCTTTTTATGTCTCTCTGCTTAATTGTGTGGCTTGGTCAATGTTTTTATTTAAGCATTTGTACCTGGTGTTAATGTCAAAGGCTAATGGTGTTTAAGAAATATTTTTCTGGGATTCCCTGTCTTTCCTGCTGTAGGAGCAGACTGGGGACAGGTACCTGCAGCTTTCAGTCTAATTCAGAAGGGAGTCACTCAACACTCCAGGTTAAATCATTTATATTAGTTACATCAGTTATTATTTATATCAGTATATTTATTGGTATTTATATCAATTACCAGTTCAGTTTTATACTTTCTATGTTGAACTTTACACATGGAATTCTGTCCAGACCTGAGCTTCTTCCTGCGAGACAGGGAAGTGGTTTCAGTCTTTTCAAGCAAAACTTGCTCACAGAACCAGTTGTACTGGTGTAACCAGTACATGGCCTACACCACTTACAGACAGATCGGTCAGCACAATATTGTTGCAAAATGTGTATCAAAGAATCTCTGTCAAAGCCCCAGTCCAGCTGATGGCAAAGCAAAGTACCCAGAGAGGCAAAACCCCATTGGAGAACTTTGTTCCCTGAGCCAAATTCTTGGTGCACTGAGAGACTCTTTCTGCTGAGTCCTCTGTGGGATAATTCCTGAGACAAAGCATTCCATCTCCCTGGAACTCAGGTCTGATTTTAGAAGGGGTTTGTTTGCCTGTGCCTAATGCAATATTCATAGCTCTGCTGGCTGTAGATGTAAAGTCTTTGAAAACAAACCAGTGGGATCCATGTAACCTTTGGATGTTGAAGACTGATGCAGCCATTGCTCTACTTGCTCCCAAGCCTTGATTTCGACTCTGAAGGGAAACCTGCCCAAGTAAATAGCTTCCATTGCTGGTTTTATATCTCACAGCTTTGGTATCATTAATCTGAACTGCATAAAACCTTCCTAAAACCCTCAGGCCATTGAAATGTAGAGCTAGTTATCACTTCCTACCTCGAGTTTCCCACTCTTCTCACTACTTTAGCCAACTCTGCCGTTATCATGCTATTAAAAAAGTCAAACTAACAGTAGTATCGAGGCTGGTTCAGAGATGGAAACTTGCTTATTCTTACATATTTGGTGGTACTAAACAATGAAAGGCTGATTTCCAGTTAGTTATAGAGAGCTGTTGAGAATAATTAGCAGTGCCTGAAAAGGGAAATTGCTTTCTTGGTTCATCTCAGGCTGCTGTACAGCACCACACTGGATTTCTACTTAAAGCTGTTATATCAGGGTTTATACTGTTCCAGAGAAATTAAGCTGGATAATTGATTCTGTTCCCCAGCTGCCTGAAAAATTAAAACCTCTAAGATGCATATATAATTATACAGGTGGGCATATCCAGTGTGTTCTTTTTCCAGGAACAGTATTTGCCAGGAACCTCACACAAAGAAATAACCTGCTTGTCTGAGCTATACTGGGTGACAAGAATACATTTATCTAGATTGCAATAATATCAGTTACAGCCAGAAGCATTTCTGAAGTGCATTAAAACTACTTTGCCATCACCTCTGGTGTGGGGCTGTCCGAGTACAGTACTGCAGCTACTGCAGCAGCTTTCTGGACAAAGTTTTGAGCTGAAAACTTCTGTACATGTTCTCCCACCTTCTACTAAAGTGCCATGAAATGGGAACTATAAGACACTACCAAAGCTGGGGTAGGAACAGTGGAGGAAGTCTCATGGTACTGTAACACTCTTTCCTGAGCTCTTTACCTGAAAGACAAGGACAGGAAATATTTAAACAGTGATTAAAGGATTTATGTCCCACAGTGAGCTCTGCCAGCAAACTCAGGCTGTTGTTGACTGGCAGGTAGCAGGCACAGGTCATACTGAACTGCTTAAAACTTTCAGAAATCCCAGGAACCATTGTTCTCCCAGGAACTGCTGTGTGCAAATGGATGACATCAGGCAGTACAGACTCTTTTAGACAGGAACCTCTGTATTTTGTCCTGACTTATAATTGGCTAATATTTAGTGCCTCTGTGACTCTTGACTGTTAATGTTACAAACTGAAGTGGAAAGGCGATTTTGGTTTTCTTAACTAATTATAAAAAGTCTCAAGCAAGACAAACTCCAGGCCTGGCACAATTAGAATGATAACAAAACTGTCCAGTATCCATTAAAATGCATTTATTTGTTTTAATTCAAAGGTTTAACAACTATTTGCCCAATGATCTGTACTTAGGGCACAACAACAAAAAAAATCCCATCATCAGACCAAAATACAAAAACAAGTACACAAATTACCCCGTATTTGTAAAGTTACCTCATAACCAAGGTTTAGCACATTAAAAAGTTTACAAAATTCATAACACTCTTACAAATTATTCAGAACTAACAGCATATGTGGCAGTTGAGCCCATCCACGTCCACCCTTGCCCTTGCCAAACCATTCTGTGCCTGGATAACGCCGTGCTGGAACTTGAGGGTGGGGTAACCAGATCTGCAAGTTTCCAAAGACCCCTTTGTGGTCCAGCCCAGCTCCAGCTACCTGGCACAGCGTGGATGGGGAGAGCAGGGAATGCTCACTGGTCTGCCTGCTGCGTTCTCTGCAGCATTGGGATAATGACTCAGTAAATGCAGAAATAATTTAAAAAAGTACAAAATTGACCCTGAAGAAAAATAAAATTATTTATAAAACAGCTTGGCTTTGACTAAGTTACACCAACAGCTGCAAGACAGATTTACAGCAATATCACCTAGAGTACGAGATCACAAAATCAACTGATTCCTTATGAGTCTTGTCACCATAAAACTGAAAACATCAAAGCTGACCTGTCTGCCTACAGAAACCTTGCACCTCCTACCTGGGCTGACATGGGCCCTCTTCCTGGCTTTTGGCCTTTTCAGAGCTTTGTTAACAATTAGGACTAATTTAATTTCTAAGAATCCACCTCAAGTGAAACAATTGCAACACAAGAAAACAGCACAACTCTATTTTCCATTAGCTATGGATGCATAGAAAAACAAACGCTTCTGGTTTAGTTGCAAGACTTAGGACATAAAAGTACAGTCATTTAACAGTTGCAAATACCATTTCTGAAAGAAAAATACAATTGGGCTTTACAAAGTGATATCAAATATACATAAATATCAAAACCCTGATTGTGGTCAGAAACAGAAATTACAATTAGGTACTCTCTCACCTCAGGATTTGCAAATGCACTGACTTTTCCTGTCTCCTAAGTTCAGCAAGGCAGCAGCTGCTCAAGCACACGTAGGCTTTGCCTATAAGCAGCATTTTTGAACTGTAAGAAGCTGAACCAAAACCAGCTCCAGGTGCGTGTTTGTAGACTGGCTTTTCATCAGTTTATACATGCATGGTTCATTTTCACCCTTCAAAAGAAACAAGACGCAAATTCTCCTTTGGTGCTTAAATAGGAAGAAGCGAAAGGAATAGATAAAGCTCAGACACTGCTCAGCATCTGAGTCCTTGGAAAAATAGCACTGCAGGGGTCCTGGACAGCTAAAGCTGTGGCACAAGGCAGTGGGTGCAGAAATGTTACTGGCTCCCTTCTGTGCTTTGGAGGGCTGGATAAACCCATCAGTAAACAAGTTTATTAAAGTTAATAATGCTCCATTTATGGGTACATTTGGAGGGAAATGTAGCCACTCGGTGGCAGCAGGAGCAGTTTCCTTGCTCCTTGTTTCTTTTGAAGTGCCTACAGTACTAAAAATTAGAGGGCTCTGTTCAGACTCCTTAATACATACCAGTGTCTCTGTGAAGGCCAGGCAGCAGCACTGCTCAAGGATTTTTTTCTGGGATTGTGCCCAACTTGCTCTTGGACAGCAAATGAGCTCAGTTTGGGGTGAGATTTTACACTCAGCTTCAGCCGCGGGGAATAGCGGGTGTGACTGCACAGCCCAACTCCTGCCCCCAGCTATTGCCTGTGTTGCCATAACTGTGAGTGCCACCACAAAAGACTGGGCACATTTGGCCAGGAGGACCAGGACAACCCTTTCACTTGTACGTGGCACTGCAGCTCTGTAAAATCTCAGCACCAGGTACCGGGCAACAGCTTCAAGTTATCTTGACACAGATTGTGTGCGTAATACCCCAGCAGAGAAAGCAATTAGCTCCCAGGAGCAGCAGGAGAGTTTTGTTCTTTCATTTCCAGCATAAATAAGCATAAAAGCAACCAAAGAAATCATCTGTATAATGTAAGTGCCTATAAAAGAAACCTTTAGGGGAAAAGAAAAATCAGCCTCTGTGAGGGAAAACAACAAATACCTGCTACAGAGATGAAGCTTTCCCGTTCTTTCCCATATCCTGCATGCACATGGAACAAGCTCTGGCTGATGCACATTCCCAACAGATACCAGAGACAGATGAGGAATAAAGGGTAAAGCATGTGAAGTTCAGTGATGGTTTCTTCAAAAGTTTGTTGCTTTTCTGCTCCCATTCTGACCTGCCCCTCCCTTCAGTGGAGCCTCACTCTCAGCTGCGTGGATGCAGTTCCTTGTGGTGACTCACCATCACCAAACATGAAATATTAAGTTTTAAAAGCCTTCAAAAAGGGGCACAGGGAGGGAGGGAATAATTGTGACTTTTGGGCCTGTCACTACAGGAAAGACACTGGGGCTCTGCAGCATGTCCAAAACAAAGCAACAGAGCTGCTTAAGGGTCTGGAGCACAAGTCTGATGAGAGGCAGCTGAGGGAGCTCAGCCTGGAGAAAAGGAGGCTCAGAGTGGACTTTGTCACTAGCCAGGTGGGGGTCAGTCTCTTCTTCCGGGAAATAAGCAACATGACAAGAGGAAACAGACTCGAGTTACACCAGGGGAGGTTTAGATTGGATATTAGGAAAAATTTCTTCACCAAAAGGGTTGCCAAGCATTTAAACAAGCTGCCCAGGGAAGTGGTGGAGTCACCATCTCTGGAGGTATTTAACAGATGGGTAGATGTGGCACTTGGGGACATGGGTTAGTGGTGGGCTTGGCAGTGCTGGGTTAATTTGGACCAGCATAACAGGGAAAAGCACAAGTCAGCCCAGAGACCACCAGCCAGCTCTGATCCAGGGTGGGAAGGAGGGCAGCAGTGACCACTCAGTGGCTCTGCTGTCACAGCCAGTGGTGCAAGAGGTACAACTGCCCCAGGAATCCCTTCAGCCACACTGCCCAGGGATTTCCCTCATGTCAGCTCTGCCATTCCTCCTACTGAATTTTAAGTCAGCCAGAAGAGCTCACAAATTTTGCATTCCAAGCTAAGAGCCTGCACTGAGTGAGACACCTGAGCTCATTTAAATGCTCCTGCAGTTTTAATTGACCAGAGGCAGTCAATGGTGGCAAACAGCAGCTGGTTTATACTTGTTTGGAATGCCCTGAAGCATATGACTATAAATAGGAAATGCTATAGTTTAAAAAAGAAAAAAAAATAAAAGACTGCTACCTATAGAAATGTTTCTAGTAACTACAATATTCTGAGCGGAAAAAAAGGAAAGATTCTTCAAAAAACAGGAAAGATTTTTTTAAAAAACAAAAAACTTTAAGTTAAGCAAATAATAATGCTAAATAGTATTTGGCAAAATTTGGCTAAAATCATTCTATTGTAATACCAAATATTCCTTCTAAACAGAATCGAATCCAACATAAGGCATTTTGCCAAATTCTGAAGTAAAATAAACCATGATTGGTAGTTGACAGTAGCTACAGGTTGGGAAGAATTACTATTTTGCTCAGCACTGCACAGGGGATGGAGTATATTAATAAGGGACAGGCTTTAGCATCCAGCATTGGCATCTCCCAGCAATGTCCTGTGTTTCATCACAAAAGACTGAATCTGCTGAAACAACCAGCAAGAACTTCCATCCCTTCAGCAGCTCATCCAGTGGTCTTCCACAGATGGATTCAGGCCTTCAATGCCAACACATTCTTTCTTTATGCCCCGCTCCACAAATGCTTCAGGAAGATATTCCCAGCTTTCCTGAGGCAGCAGGGAGAGTCTGCAGTGGAATTCATCAGGTACCAACACTGACTGACAGTGAACTCTGTGTTAAATCAGGTGCTTGTCTTCTGAGTTGAATTCTAATTAAAAACACGAGGAGCCACACAGTCTGTGTAACTCACACCAGCTGTATATGCCTGAGGGATAGTTCAGGTATATGCTGCATGTTCTCAAATTGTAAGCATACATATATCTATTCTTTTGTATGTATGTACATATATATATATGTACACATACACAGGGCAAGGCATGGAAGAAAACCAGAAACTAGTCTGTAAATCAGAATGTGGGACAATATATTTCTGATTGAGGTGTACTTTTTTTAATCATACAGAATAAAAATATTTGAAGTAGCCACTTCTTCCCTCGCCAATGAAAATTTTTCTTTTTTAAGGAAAACAAACAGACAAAAAACCCAAAATCAACCACTTCTTGTTCTTACTTTTCCCTCCTGAGGTATAAATGACTGTACCCTAACTTCAGAACATCCCTTCAGGTGATCCAGCTGAAGGAGGTATGATGGTTTTGGTTTATCTTACAAGTCACAGCTTTGATAACACAATGAATCTATAAATTGCAACAAACTTCTGTGCAACAAAAACCTGCAGCCCCGAAACCCAGCAGCCTGTGAGAGACTCACAGTTCTGGAAGAACACACTCAGGATTTCCCATCTTTCTGCCCAACAGCTTCTCCTCTAGCCTTGCAAAATCTGAACAGGTACACACTTCACTGTTTATCATTCTGCCCATCTACATCCTGTTCTCCAAAAGACATGGTGACAGATTTATTCCTACCAGTAAACTGGAACATGTTCTTTTCAGTAGAGGCCTGCACTGATTTGACATTCCTGTTTGTACCTGTATTTTGAAATCGGTACACAAAATGTAAAAGAGCTGTAGGGAGAGAACAGTTTCAATTTGTTCCTTTTTTAACCAGTCTGCTCAGCGAGGAGCAGTGTAGACAGAGCAGGAATGTTTCAAAAGCTACTAAGTAAAAAAAAAAAAAAAAAAAAAAAAAAAAGAGAACTCTGATCTTTACAATGGACTTTGTATCTCCACTCCTCCAATTTAAGCTAAGTGAAAAAAAATTTTGTTCAAAGTCTGGACCGAAGAGTGGATGCAATATCTTATCATGGCTTATACATAACATGGTCTTTTGAAATTATTTCAACATGATTTTTTTCCATTCACCCAAATAAAAGCATCTCCAAAGCATCAAGATATGATGGGACTTCACTAGATGGATATTTATCCACAGCAACTTAAGAATTAAGTAGCTGATTTAAAAAAACAAACCAAAAAAGAAAGTATTGTTTGAATGAGTTATTGTTCCCCAACATTTTCAACCAGCTTAAAGAAAGTACAGTAGAACCTCACTCCTTTGCACTTACAACTGGGAGATTAACATTGTTTCCTGTGGCTGTTTTGGAATATTCAGGTTCTAAGAGTTAATCCAGGATGATGTGGTTCAACATGTGTTTGTTCACATCAGTGGAGTGCTGCAATGCAGCATTATTTCCTACCCATGATATAACTGTACTTCTATTTAATGGAAAATAAGTCAAAACAAGGTAGCACTGCCACTCTCTTGGCTGGAATGTGGACAGGTCCTGGCCTAATTTGAAATGGTGGCTTAGCAAGATTCTACTGTAATCTATACAAAATGTATAAAACACAAACCTTTCCCAGAATAAGGCCACTAATTTTGCCATTGGCAATAGGCAGTGAGAAACAGTAGGTAAAAAAACCCCTCACTTGATTACAAAGGTGTTTCTGAGGCAATAAACTGTGGGGAGAAGTATAAAGCCGTTGTCCTCTCATCCCTCCTCCTGGTGTTCCAGTATAGGTGTCTCTGCTTCCTGCACGTGCGACTCCACGGGGAGAGATTTCAGTCTATTTTCTTAGCTGGGAGTCTGAGCAAGTCCATGCTACATTTAAAGATGGGGACAGCACTGTAAAACAGCAGGATTACAAGCTTCCCGTGGGTCATGGTCATGAGTGTCTGATGTCCACATGCCCAGATTCGATACCAGGGCCCGTAAAAAGGATCTGAGACGGCCGGGCACAACATGTTGTTCAAATTCACTTCTGTAACCTGAGAAAGTGACAACAAATTGATAAATTAAACAATATTTTTGCTTTGCAGCGATTCAGACACCTAAACTGGTAATTTTGAAATTACCATAATAACAGAAAAATGCTTAGGTGACGCTTTTGCTCGACACAAATAGGGCAGCATCCAGAAATAAAGTAGATCCAAATTTCATTGTGCATTTAATAGATGGATTTGTGCAGGTACATAACCAATCTATGAAATATTTTACCGATACTTGTGAGACATGAGATGCAAATGCTCGTTAGAACATGCAATTTGCATACAAGCAGCCTTATCAAAAATTTGCATTGCAAGTTCTTATCCGTGTGGATCTGGACACTGTGAAACAAAGTAGTCAGTGGTTTTACTTTGGATGTACTTGCAAACCACCCATTTATTAACCTGTGTTTACTTACCAGTCCCAGAATCTGCAAGATGCTAAAGTGATACACAAACATAAACCCCGTGGATAAAAGAGCCCACCAGAAATTGCAGAGTGGCTCTGGAGTGTAGATACCTTGAAAAGAAAGGAACACATTAGTATTCAGCTGCATTGCTGTGTCCATCAAACACTCAACAATAATCCTCTCTCTCCTGCTCTGTGCATGTCAGGGCATCTGGCTTGAGCTGATAACCTACTCAATACCATCACAGTAATTAATATTTGAGAGCTTTAATTCTTACCTGGAGCATCCTGAACAGCTTCTTCCCTCCTTCTGGTCCAGCAGTAAAAATATGCAATATGTTATCTCATTACATTTACCTATTTTCCACCAACACCATTAATTTTTACCTCAATCTTCCTTCTACCACAGAAGTGCAACATGATTTTAAGACACAGTGTACAATGAGTCTTCAAAATCAGGTTATTTATACTTAAACACCTGCTTCTTGCAGGGACTATGACTTCAGCGTGCACAGAACTGACTTAGGCAGCAGCAGGTCCTGCTCAGCACTGTATTAGAGCATAGCATTGCTATTTCCTAATTTTATGGTTGTTTAATAACTATCAAAAAGGAACTTGCACCAATAATGCCAAGGAACAGAAAAGCTGTATAAAGTCAATCCATCAATGAGAGGCTGTGCTTTTAAATGAAAACTGCTGGGGAGATATTTTCAGATATACACTACAAACAGTGGTAGTATACCTACACTAGAATCAGTAGATATCACAGATACTGTAAAATACTTTTTCCCTTCAAAGGAAGTAGCAGATACCATGTTATTCCCACCTTTCTCTCTCCTCCTGAAAGCAGGTTTTGTCTATTTACTGACAAAACACAATGTTCCCTGATCTAGAATGTACCAAGGAAATCAGATCTAATAAAAGTACCCACAGATACATTACTATTTTGGGAATTAAATATTCAAATTTCATACAGTGAGAACAAAACCAGTTTAGAGAGTTCTTAAGACTCTTACTAGCAGCCATGAAAGTTTTAGTGTAAGATATGTGGAAAAAATAATATTTTCCTTATGACTTTAATAACTTCAACCTCAGAACACAAAAGAAAGATGCACAATGTCATACTGCTCAGCTGCTGTAAGAGTTCCAGAGGATTATAAAAATACACTGGCAATTTTTATCTGCCTTTATCTGCTCTCTGATCCATTAGATATTATTAAACATTAGGATGTGTATCCAGTACTCAAAGGACAGCTTACAGCACAGAGTGCAATATTGATACCAGCCTTTGCTGGCACGTTCAGTAATTACCAGGAAGTAATTACAGACTTCAGCATATGCTGTACAAGGCTACTGAGAACTCAAATAACTCCACATACAGAGTTCAGCAACCACAGAACCCACCAGACCACAGCTGCTGGGAATATGCCTATGTATGGCATCCTATCTAGATAAATACAAGTAACTGCTGTTACCACATCACCATATCATGGTGCATCCCTTTTCATGTTTAAAGTCTCTAGAGGAATGCCTCCTCCATCTGTTGCCCTTTTAAAATTCTTTTCTGCATAGTTTTCTTCCATAGTTTGTACCCATCATGCCAGTTCAGATTGATTTTGCAGTAGCTGCCTGAAACAAGTTCGGTTAAGTAGCATTTTGTGAATGGCACAAAATCAAAGTTACCCACGCGTTGTTGTGTAAAGTTGCACAAGAACACGAGTGCTCTGCTGCCAATCCCCAGAGCAAGACACTGATTGCATGTTTGAATGACAGCAGCACATCTGCACCCCACGTGTCACTCCCTGGCTCTAATGAGAACCTGTATTACTGTAATTAGCCAAGGTACGGCTGCACACCCTGTGTCACTGAGCAAGCTGGGACTTGGTGCAACCACGATAAACAGGAGCACAGAAGCTACTTGGAAAGCAAAAGGCAGCTTGTAAGATTGCTTACCCAGCGGGAAGGTGAAGTTCAGAGGTGTCTGAACTGTAAAATCTAAAGGTAAAAGCAAATTCTCCACGAATAGCTTTATTCTCTACAGGTAGAGGGAAGAAATTCCCAACAGTAATTCTTGGAATGCAAGTGTGAGCTTAGAGCTGGCATCCTATTTAGAAAATGGTACAGAAGTCTTTACTTAAATAGCAACAATATTCATTAAAGTCCATGGCCTGAAAACATCAGATATGTGACACCACCTTGAATATGGTTTTTCATTACAGAGAGCAAGAGAAGGAGGAACCAGCTTTGCTGTCAGAGCTCAGGGGATCATGGCTCTATTTTTGGCTGCACCAACTTTAGGTGACCTGGTCAAGCTTTACAGAAACTCTTTGTGCTCCCTTCCTCAGCTGTAAAGAAAACATTGTTTGACTTGCAAAATTTATTTATATTGTCTTTGAAGTCCTAGGTGCATGTTTAACCTAGATACATAACACAACATAAAATTTAAATAAGGTATCAAAGCAGCTCCTTGGGAACAGGCCGAGCAGTGCTAAACCAAATTAGGTTTCACGTGAACTCATCTGTTGGCAGTTGCCTGTGCTATTTCAAAAGTATTTGACAAAGCTTGGTGGTTGGAAAGCTAAAATAGAGAGACCTCCATATCCAAGTGATTTACAGTGCAGGTAGGGTATGAACACCAAAATAGACAAGTGGACCCATCTATGAAATGAGAAAGGAGGGAGACAGCAGTCATTAAAAGACCAAGGAAACTGCGCAAGATGACAACAGGATCCATGGCATAATTTGGCTTTGAACCCAGACTTCTCATGTCCAGCTTCAATCTAGTCAGAGAATCATGTTTCAGAGGTCCCTCAGGAGAGCTGTTCAGGTTCCCTCAGCCAAGAATTTCACTCTGCTACATCCTCTCTCTGTTGCAAAACTTCAAAACATACATCAGCAACTCTTGCTCTCTACAGATTTTTGGGCTTGCTTTGTAATAGAAAAATCCCTGCTTGTGAGACTTTGGAATCCTGAAAATAATGGTGTGGTTTTCAGCAGCAGCATTATTTGGCCATCAAGGGACAAAACAGAAACACTGACCTCCACAGGAAAACATTTCATAGTGCTCTGCATTCCCAAGTGAGCTTTGGGAAACTAATTTTAAATTCATACCTGGGATATTTTCTGTACATTTCTCATTAGATAAATAACCACTATAGATTGTATTACTCTACAGTCCTGCTATTCAGCAGATGGTTGTTTAATGGAGCAGCATGGTCTCCTTTCCATAGTACACAGTCTGTTAACAGAGACACACAAACAGGAAAACTGAGACCCAGCTGAGGGGTTGTTTCAAGGGCCTGTGTTGGCTTTGGCAAAAGCTTCTGCTTGAGTGGGAAATCAATTTTAACAGGTAGTAGCAGAGAGTTTCACTCTCTATTTACTAAGGATCATGGGCAATTCTTATACATTAAGCATTTAAAAAATTTAATCCAACTGCCAGTCTGGCACTAATCTCATTCTCAAAAACAGTCATGGCCCAGACAGTTGAGACCATTCCAAATCAGGGTCATCTTGGTAGGCTGTATATTTGCTCCTGTGTTGAAATAGCATGGCAGGGGATATGTCAGTTTAATTTAAACTTCAATACTTCAATAGCATTGATAGGAAGGATTCCATATAGATCAAAGAGTTTGGCATTCTTTGTCTGCTTCTGCAACAAAATTTTGTTGACCTTGAACATGCCAAGTTGTTCACTTTGCCATCTAGGAAATGGAAGCATGGCTTTAAAAATCTAAAAATCAACAAAGACACCATTTCTTTTATACTGCTCCCCCCACAATGTCTTGTGCTAGTTCAAGTGTTCTTATGAACCACTATTTTTATCTAAAATTCTCAATACTTAGGCTTGCAAAAATTTGAGCACAACTTAATAGAAAGTGATACTCCCTTTGTAATTCTCTGAAAGCATAATGGAGGAGAAAATTACTCCTCTGTTTGAATTAGAGAATTAGAACCTAGATATAGTACAAATTTTTAATTTAGTAAGGTTTTAAATAATCTCTTTAATGTCTTGGTTTCCATTCCCACTACATTTGATAGAGCTTTATGAGTTTCCAGCACTGCACACTCTCCTTCAGTAGTCTCACAATTACAAGACCACCTGCTTAATCCACAACTCGCAGCACCTATTACAATTCTGTCATTTTCAAGCTTATAAAAATGTGAGGGCAAATTTATTTTCATTTTATTTCCCTTGATCAAAGGGTTAATTCTAATTGTTTGGCCTATTGAGTTGGCCTAGAGACCAAACTTCCTATCCAGAGGAAAACAGGAAAAAATGTTCTCAAGAGGATGATCCTGAAATCCACTGTTTCCCTTACAGCTGTTCGGACTTCATGTGTAGATTTCAAAATACTACCTTATGCCAGGAGGTTTCTGTTTCCCCTCAGTGCCAGCTGCTCTCATCACAACCAGCTCACACAGGGATCTTATATTACCTGCTCCACTCAGGAACTATTTTTTATTCTCCATAAAGAAGCAGCAGTAGTTCTTCCTCTTCCTTCAGACAGCAGCAGCTCTTCTAGACGCTGGTACCTGCCCCTCTAAATTTCTCCATCTCCTAGAGAGAGATTTCATTTTTCAAAGGAACTGTAACTGCCCAGTGCATAAAGCTCAGAGGGTCACAGAACAGACATGTCCCCTCCTCTTCCTCTCCAGGTCTCTTAAATCATCAAACAGGATTGTCCTGGAATGATCAAGCTACAAAAGAGACTGAGCCTGCAGTCAGAGTGACAGCACACAGCCACCCTGCTGCTCAAAGTGCCACAGGACAAGCACAGCTGGACAGCAAACCAGACATTTATGTCTAATACATGGGATGCAGCAGGTAGACAAAAGCTGGAATGGGAACATGGAACTGCCAGCAGGAGAGTAGGGGAATAATACATAAGAGTCGACAGATCTCCAAGCAGTTAAGAGGTTCAGTGAAAGAGCTGTTACATTATCAAGGATGGAGATGAAGAATTATTACTACCTAAATATAACCAAATATAAAGTGATACTTTTCCTGAATTACTACTAAGGTATATAATAAAGTCTGCTTTACAACTCCTTTAAAAAGCTAAGGATAGATCTAGCCAAATACAGGTAGAGTGTCACAAAGTGGAAAAGTGGCTGAACAAAGGGTGCAACAGCTAAAAAAAAAAAAGTCTTTAAATATGGTAATCCCCCACTCTAGCCAATAAGTCCTAACAGCCAATGGAGAGCGCAAATTTCGATCCCCCATTGCTTTAATTGCACTTTCCTAGTTTACAGCCACAGGAAAAATGATCCTTTCGTCTGTACTTGGTATCTGTGTTCTACATCAGCTTCCCCTCAGGTCAGACACGCTGCACTGCCCCCACAGAGCTGCCTGTGCTGAGCTGCTTCTGCCCAGCTTCTGAAGCGTGACTGAGGCATTCATCCTCCAGGAGAGGGGAAAAAAGGGGGGAGGGGGGGAAATAAATCAACTTCTCCTGATTTTCTGACAATGCCAAAGAACTTCTCTCTTTTGATGCCACTTTTGAAGACTCTTAGATCAACAAAGAAAAGGACGTTAGGACTTGAGTCAGAGAGACTGGATCTTCATTGTTTATAAAGATACAGCACTTGCCTTAAAAGAAGAAAATTCTGACTCTACTCCCAGCAAACAACTCAATTATTTAGGATGTCTGTGTCTGTCCACTTGTGCACAGCAAGTCAGCTCTGAAAACACACAGGGCCGGACCACAGGACTGTCCAGAATGTGCAAGGCCATTCCTGTCAGATTTAGCTCCAGAAAAAGGATTTCTCCCCCCCCCAAAAAACACGACCCCACCGAATCCCTTCCCGGCCCGCGCCTCGCGGACAAACCCGCTGGAAGCGGGAATTCCCGGGCTCGCGCAGCGCCCCCTGGCGGCCGCGGCCCCACAGCGCAACCGCTCCGGGGTATCCCGGAACTCCAGGTGCTGCCGTTCGGGAACAAAACCCTAAAAATCCTCAACACCAACATCCTCTTCCACTTGCTGAAGTCCCTAAGTCAACTAAATAACGCTGGCGATCTCAAAACACAAGACAGACTATCTCTGAGCTCCACTGAAAGGTAACTGCTATAAATTAACCCTTATTTCAATCTGTTGTGGAGTAACATCATTTGCTCACTGCTCTAAGGAAATAACTTACGGTAGATGAAATCCATTGCTACAAATAACAATTCCACTTTGATTAAATCTCAATATGATTTGAAGTTCTGAAATAAGGTGCACATCTAACCTTGTCAAATCCATCTGAAATCCTGACCAAACCAGCTTAAGGACCAAGACAGTCAGGAACTGAGAGTCTCTAAAGGTGATGCAGTGCAAACTCGATTTTTTTTTCCATTATCTTAAGAGTATACAGTTAAAAAACTAAGCTGTCCTGAACACCACTAATACTGGATCTTAGAAGGTCAGGTTAATGCACTGGTGCAATAGTTGTGGCAGTTTGAACCACAACACTTCCTCAGCTGCCACCTTCCTCAGCCTTCTACAGTCTGTACCCCAGGGACACAAAGTATAATTATCAGATCACACTCATATGCTTCCGAAAACCAGCTCAGTTGTAGAAGGAAGCAGTCTGAGGAGCTTTTTGATGAAGGGGTTGGTTCCATGCTCTAAATCTGCACTGTTGTGGTTCTGGTCTTCTGCCTCCCACCTCGGCCATTCACGGCACCTCCCTTTTCCCAGTGCTTGCACTCACCTGACAGGACAGTGAACCAACACAAACTACAAAAGCATTTGGACTTTTCTGACAGGGAAGCAAGGGTCTCACTTCCTAAGGGCAAGAGAAAACAGTGACCTGCAGGTCACTGTTCAGCCCATCCAGCTGTTTCTGGAATGCTGTGGCCTGCCCAGATGCATCCTGTAATTTTGGGCAGCAACCACAGGTGACACAAGGTGAGATTCATCCAGAAAAATAAAAGTGCCAACTGCAGACATACTTCACATAAGAACTGTCTTGAGTTAGGGATCTTCTGTGCTGGCCTGTTACATCCACACTGCATCTATTTTGCATGAGAGTCTCTTAGTGCAGCCAAGAAAGATAAGCCACTGTGCACAAACATTTATTTTGTCTGGCACATATGTGTATGTATGTATACATATATGCACTTGGGAAGAAGTGCATATATTCCCTTATGAAAGGGAAGTAGGGAAACTTACATTCACTCAGTACAGAGGGGAGAGGAAGAGAGAAAGAAGCTTTAATCCCCAAGACTGAATATGTCCTTGAGCTTCAGTGAGTTCACTGTGCTACACTGAAGCCTGAGTTCTAAAAGTCTCTCTCACCCATGTGCTGCCAAGTGTGGTAAAGCCCCCACACTTACGGAGTCAGAAGGGACATGAAGGTGATGCTGCCAGTGCATCATGACCTGTCTGCACCACAGTAATGAATAGCAGGAAGACACTGAAAATAAATTATTACAGCCTTTGCTTGCTGTCGCCCAATTTCCTTTCAAAAAGGAAACATTTCAGCAGGGAGTCAAATGTGTGTGCATGACTGGTGTGATACCTGATTAGCACATCAGCAAACATGGGTGTACAGTTCTGCATGGACTGAGCCTCAAATCCACTCTGCTTCAGGTGTTCTGCTCACCCTGCCTCTGAGAAATGTTTGGACCCCATTAAGGCCAGATGTCCAGTAAAACTGAAGTAATATACTTTTCCATATGCAATCCATTCCTTGCCATTTTTCCAATTTTCTACCCTCCAATTACTTCTCTCAACTACAATCCATAGATTCACTGTTGCAAATTTCTATTTACAATACAGAAATTGAGCTGCATGTTGATCAATGTCAGTGATGAAAAAAAGCAATTTTCACAAGATATACTTAGGATAAAGGCATGTGTGATCTACCCAGAAGGTACTTTAAACAGAGGTGCTAGTGAAATGACAAAACACTAACAAATGTTTTCAGGCTGAGTAATTTTTCTACCAAAAAAATCATGCCTCAGGTCACCTGTGGCACCATAACTAATGCAGGAGTTGATGGATGTTAATGAATTACAGTCAGTCAGGTGACAAGAAGGCAAGTGCATAAGACATGGAACAATTATTAGTTACACAGCCTAGAGCAATCTCCATTGATAGATTTAGCCAACCAAGCTCTTTTGGCAATTTCAATGCCATCACATCAACATTAGATGGCAGCAAATACCTGTAAGTTAATGCAGGGCAGGAGTTTAGAAAACTGGACCAGGGTGACAACCCCCAACCCTTCAAACTGCAAATACAGTCCTGTCAGTCCCAGGTCCTGAGAAACCCCAAGACCCTCTACTTCAAAACAAACAAAAAGCCAAACCAAACCAAAAAACCCCCAAAACTTAAAGGAACACATCAAGTGATACCCAAGGCCAAACCTTAAGGCAAAGGACATACATGTCAAAATTATGTCAGATGGGAACTTCAAGGCCACCAAGTGATTTACTGACATCCCAAGAGCTTGGTTTGTCACTGCCCACAGAGTACTCCATGGTTGGTTACACTTTCTCCCCCCTGCTCCCCACACTTCTCCTGCAAAGATTGGGATTTTGTATCACTTCTACAACCACACTGCACTTTATCATTATTTGCCAGAATTTTAGGATAGCAAGGATGGATTAAAATTAAATGTGGCTGTCATATCTCTCTGGTAAGAGAAAGAAGCAGAATGAAGTTTCGAAGTATGATACTTCACTTCTTCCTTTGAATCATTTTTGTTTAGTTTCACTCAGCCGGTTACAGTGCAATACAGTCACTATAACTTAGAGGTTACAGTGAAATAAGGGTGAAGGAATGTAAGTCACTGCTGGTATAAAATACAACTGATTCAACAGAATGGAAGAGGTTGATTCTGCTTGTTCTGAGCATTTTCTAATCTGCATCCCATGGTTCACATCACATCATCGGGGTTTTCATTAAAGGCAACTGAACCCCTGGACCATGAGTTATCATCTTTTATTGCCTGAATAAAACAATTTAGCTCTGCTAGAGAATGCAGCCAGAGGCATGTGAACGCTAGAGGGGAGCAGAGCATCACACCAGCTGAATACACACTGCATTCCCTTCTGAGGAAAAATCACTGGCCAGGGGAACAATCTGGGATTCCCAGACTTACCAAACTATTATGGCATAAGTGAATACAAGATGGAAATCTTGTTAGAAGAGATAACAAGCAACCTAGTTCACGTCACTAATATGTGCCATTGCATTTCATTAGAGCTTCAGAATTTCTGTAACCTGCCTGACTAGACAACTAATATTTACGTGGGATGTAATCATGATTTTTTTTTTCAGCTCATTTTAAGTTCCAGTACTGAGATGGAAAAGGTCTTAAAAATACATCCCCCCAACAACTTGAGAGTGTTACAAAGTGGCAGAGATGCTACTCAAAAAGACAGTGCACATTATACCAATACACCCTTGGTATCCCTTTGGGTAATAGACCATTTGTTTTCATTTCCATTTCACTGCCTGACACAAGTTGGTGTTACCTGGATTACAACTCCAACATTAGAACATTAGAAACTATTAAGTAACAACAGAGAAAACTGGCTTAAAAAAGGGTAAGAATGAAATTGGTGGTATCCAGTAAGCACATTTTTTTCATTGCATGGGACCAATTCAATCCATGTGGAGTAAATTGTTAACATACCTCCTTTCTGCAGCAGATAGATGGGCACAACGTAAAGCATCACATGTTGGATATAATAAATTTCCATTTCAAATGGGAGCTGTGGAAAAAGGAAAATATTTGTAAATACTCTTCATCACTAACAACCAAGTTACAAGGAACCATTCTCCTTAGGACCTATGACAATGCACTGAGCTCAGTTATTTTATCACCTGTGCATATTGACAAAGAGCTGACATTAATGGTCAGTGCCTTGAAAGTACCTTGAAACTGTACCCATTCCACGCCCCTTACCTCAAATTGAAGGCAGCACTTCCAGTAGACAATTCCCAAAGTTAGCCAGAAGCACGACACAGAAGGAATAGCATAAGATTGTTTTTTCCCCTTCTTTGCTAGTATAAATTATCAATAACAATGCAAGACCCACCACTAATCAAACCAGAAACTCTGCACACCCCATACAACAGAAGTCTTTCCAGAAAGAACAGATACTTGCTACCTTGTGAGGGACAGAACTCTATAAATGAAGTCTTGCATATATGTGTTTATATACTTTAATATATTAATTACTGAGGAGGCCTCTGCAAAAGAAAGAACCCTCAAAAGACCTGATTTATAGCAATCTGCATGCATGTGTGGAACTGCTAAGCTTGTCCAAATATAAAATAGAAAATAAGCAGTATGTTATTGATTTTAAAGAGAAGCTGCAGAAGGATGTGGGTAAACAAGTTACCAGTTAGTTGTAAATCATGTATTTCTCACCTGCTGACAACTTTGGGAAGTTACAGTTAGTCATTTGTTTGTTTAGTTGAATTAGTGTAACTTCCTGGAAGAGAAGTCAGGCTGTGCTAAGATAATACTCTGCTAAAAATAACTTGAACCATAACTCTTGAGTTTGAGCCCCTTAAACCAGACCCAGCTAATTCTAGCTCTTTATCAGTTAGTAAAGGTGATGGATGCACTGTATTTGAAAGTTATTCGCATCTGTAAGTACATTAGCCTATATCTGTTTATCACACTAAAGTAACACATTTAAAACTAAGCAGTAGTAGAAAACACTCAAAACCCAGGATTCAGCTTCTTGCTGCAGCTGATTGTGGAACAGTGTGGCTTTCTGTCATTTTTCTGAAGGGAAAACTGAACAAGACCACAGGTATGAGATCTCACAGGAATAACACAAAGCTTTGGTTCAATTGTTCTGTCACTCCACAGGCTAAAGTGAATTCAGACCTAGGACCTACCACCATGGCTTGTCTGTTGGAAGGAGAGAGGGGGACAAAAGCTTTCTTTTTCTATTGTTGTTCTGAGACACTGAAGCATTGAAACAGATACATTACAGAAATTTCTACATTAAGAGGAAGAGAGGTTGAAACATAGTTTGGTTTTCTTCCTAAATAGCAGTCAATAAACAGCTGGTAATTAACATAGTGATCATTTAAATTCAACTAGAATTCTTATATCCTGTTTTGAATGTAAAAGATGCTAAACCCAACAGCCGGATTCTGCCAGTCCTGGCATCCCCCAGCTGAATGTCTGTGCCCTGATGGCAACCTCCAAGGTGTTCAGCCACCTCCAGGGAGACTAAGCTGACAAACCCTTCCATACAATCTGTTGGGTTATTTTATTCCAAATATTCTGTATCAGAACATAAACCCAAGCAAAGTAATGGTATGCAAAAACAAGAACTTCATGGAAGTTGTGAGGTTTCCTGAACCTGAACCTTTCCTGCTGTCCCTTGTTGAAGGGCACAGAGAGCAAAGTGAGGGAATTAAAATTTAGGAAGGGGCTAAAGCAGTTTTCTTAACTGGAGAAAAAGCTGCACCTCTCCCACTTCAGAAACAACTGCTCCTGAATATAAACACCATAACATGAGCCAGGCACTCCTGCCAAGGAGCATTCTCTGTTTATCTGTGCTTTCAAAAGGGCTTCCACACTCGGAGTTGTGAGGGTCCGTTACACAAACACTGCGCTTGGGACACTCCTCAGAACAGAGGAACAGTTGTTTATGCTGCAGAAGTGTTCACAATATTTTTTTTGTGTGTAAAACAAAACATCTTTTTCCCCCACTGTAAGAGATGGATTGTTCTGAAGCCTGGCTGATCATGCAAGTGCATTTCCTGCTGTAGAGCTGCAGAGTTTCTGTACAATCAAGCACTCAAGTTGCACAGCCAGGCTACAACAAACAGAAAATGAAAAAAAAACCACACCAGAAGAACTATAAAGTTGTACTGAGCAACTGGCTCACCTAGACCTAAATGCCTTGTCTATAATCTGTTTTATCAATAAAAGATTCACTCACAGATAGCAGAGAGGCACCTTCTACATGCAAAGAGAAACTGTAAGTGAAGACAAGGCACAAGGGATCACCCAGCAGCTGGTTTTCAGTGGGCAAGCAGGTTAACACTTTGCTCTGTTTTCTGAAAGTAGTACTCTTCCCTCTGTTAATTATTTGTATCTTGGCTCAAGCACCATACTGTGCAAGAGCAGTTCCTCCATCATTCTGTACAAACACTGCAGAGTATGGCAGAAAAGGAATAGAAAGAATTCAACTCCCAGGTTTTTGTCTTTCCTGTAGCACATCCAGCACACAGCCCAGTAAACATCAAATGTTGCACTGTACCAGCCACCCTCTTAGACATTACCATCAATAACACATTCACACCAATTTAATGCACACAGCATGTACAACTGCCCAGAGATGCACCAGCCTTGGCTTTATCACCTACCAGCAACCCAAGCACAATCTCTCAGTAGCCCCCAACCGTTCCCATTGCTCTTCCTTGTACCAGTCAGATAAAGTCAGTTTAGAGATGACCTAATGAGCTACCATAACCTGTTTCACTTTGCTGTGCAGGCACAGGCACTTCAGGAAAACTGTTTAATGCAGTGAATTATTACTTCAACAATCAGCAGGCAATGATTGGAGTGTGCATGGAATGTACTCAAAGTCCTGCTCAGAGTACAATTCTGCTCCTAACACAGATTTTGAATGTGTACCTCTCAGGCCAAAGACTTCTAATAATAGAATATAGCAGCTTCTGGAAACATTAAAACTGCACCGTCTCAGCCATGTGAGCAGAGACAACAAGTCCAACACCTTTGGGACATGTCCTGTTTTTTACTTTATCTGTATCAACATTTTCAGGACATCAGCTTGCAAAAAAAAAAAAAAACAACACTTTTAAACCGGTAGAAAGAGTTTCTTTTAAAATTTGATTAATGCAATATGAAAGCCCAAACAAATCCAGTTACTCTCCAAACACTTGGAGTCTTTGTGCCAGTTAAATGAATTTACCCACATAGCCTGGTTATCAGGACCTACACTGTGTTTCATGTAACATAAATACAGAGTAAAAAGAAATCTTTCTACTCCTGTATATCCTCTTATACCTTTCTAGGGTCCTACTTGGGAATCTAACAAGCCAATTCCCTTAGCATCTTCTTCTCTATTTACTTAAGGGTCACAAAAGATTACCCTATGATTAGTGTGAATAGTTAATGCTGACCAAGAATTAATCACATCATGAGAAAGGGATGAAATTATGAGGGAAAATTAAAACACCCTTTATTTCTGAAAGCGTAAGAACTCACAAAATAATACTGCGAGTTCTGAATAAGAACTGAATAAGCTGACTGAATAAGAAACAGTTTCATCTCTATCAAATGTCTATTCCAATGCACAAAATTTAATTCCATCAGTACATCATAAACAATGTAGCAAATAACTGGAGTATTTTGATGCCAAATAAATACAAGTGGGTGCATCGGTTGCATCTGTTAATTGTTGACACCTCAACATCATGCCAAGGCAGGAAAATATTTTCTTGGAAAGAACAGAATAGACTGACCTCATCTTTCAGGCTACATTTGTTTGGAACACTATCCCAGGTGCCCATTATAGTCCAACAAGATTTTTGACAAGCACAGTTTAACTGAAAGATTAAAACAACAAAAGGTAGAAACTTTCTTCTGTAGGTGCAATGAATACCTCAACTCTCCATTTCCACTGCCAATAGACTACTATCTAAGAATAATTTTGAAATGACTGAGGTTCTAAAAAAAAAAATTAACAGATGCATGACAAGAAAATGGAAACCATGAAATTATGCCAGAAGCTTCGACCAATTTATTTTTCAGGATAATTTAACGTTGAAGCAGATATACAAAAAGAATACTTACAATGCATTCAGTAACGTAATTGGTAGCAAAAATATGTGACCCAACAGCCTGTGCCACAAAATGTTGTAAGAGGTGTTCTGGAAATCACATTGAACAGGTTAACACTTGGAAGCAAAACCCTGATATCCACTAAATCATCCATCAGCTGATGAAGCAATGATCCTCTTCCATTCTCTATCTCCTGCCTTTTGCCCCTTTCAGATTATTGGTAAGCACAAACAAAACTGCACATCTAATATCTTTGCCTGCATCTCACTGCTTTCATCTCCCTAATGATACACAACTTGCCAGCTATTGTGCACATGCCTCCTGCTGAACTTGCTAATTTAGCAGGTGCCTCCAAATAGAGACTACAGATCAGCACCATTATCTGCTGCCTGCAAGATTCCAAACAATCACATGGAAGAGGGAGCTTTAGGACAATGTCAGCCGAGGACAACGAGAAACCTACCACAAGGCAACATCCAACTGTATATCAAATAATTCACAAAGACAAAACACATTTGACACCCTGAAAGGCACCAGGGAGGCATTTTGGCGCTCGGGGCCGTGCATCCGTTTGGCACAATCCCTCACAGTGATGGGAGGCACCAGACTCCTGCTCTCCAGCTCCACTGACCTCAGAACTCTCTCTGCCCCAGACCATCTCCCTCCCCACGCTGGGTTAGGTGATCAATTTTTCACGCTCTTTGTGCCACACACTATATATTACAACTATTTACAGACATATCTAAGTATATAACATTGTTGTATGAAACACACAAAAATATGACTTGAAATACCATAAAACTGAAATTTAAAGTTGCTGCATAAAAACACAACAATTCTTGACAACCAAAAGTTTTCCACTTAGATACTATAAACCAGAGCAGACAGCTCAGACAAAATTATTGAGATTCTTTTGAAATTCTACTAAGTTTTAGGAGACATTCCCTGCTTTCAGGACAACATCAGCATAAACAACTACAATGATAGTTGTGGAGCTGAATGTCTGTCTGCCACGAGAGAATCTGGGTCAAAGCAGCAGCACTCTACAACATCACCCACATTATCTTGTGCCAGAAGAAACACTGAAAAGAGAAAAGCCTAGCAAGCAGCTGTTAGGCCAAAAATATCCTAAGTTGTATTTATTCCAAAAATATTTGCTCTTGGACATTGTCCTTTGGCTCCTCCAATCCTAATTATGGAGAGAATTTTGTGAATAGTCTGCATCTTTCTTGTTTAATCACCACTGCCCTAATATGAGTGAGATTTATGATCGTGGCAGAGAAAACAAAAGCTAATGAGTTATTAAATACTGCAACATTTTATCCTTCAAAGGTTACCCAGGAAAATAATTTTGTCATGCTGAAGGTTATATTTACTTGAAAACTGGATGGCTTTAAATGCAAAATAAAAAGATTTATCCTTATCGGGAAAAAATCCCACTCGTTTTATTCATTTGATGCCCTTCAGCAGTATCAAGTTTTAATAAAACAATTGCAAACTGCACATAAGCATAACTTTATACCTAATCTTATTTAGACAGTTAATATCTGCAAAGGGAGAGCCAATAACAAGATTTGCAATGGAGTCTGAAGTCCACAACAATTTTGTTAATAATATTAATTCATGTGCTATATGGCCAATAGGTTTAAGAATCTTACTAGGCACAACAACAGGTTAACTTTTTGTCCAGGAGACCGGAGTTTTATAGCAGATTTGAAAACTTAGATGGGAAAAAAGAAACCCGCTGTGCCTAATCTTGGGAGAGAGGGGTTGACAGCCAAGAACAACATTTGGCATTTTCCAGGCCAGAGGAATCTTACATTTACACAGAGTCTGAAAAGCCTGAAACTGAATTTTGACACAGGCCACCAGGTTAACCTGTGAAAGCCTCTTTCAAAGCCATTAAAGTTTCCTCTCCTTTAAGGTCAGGATGGAACTGATGCTCGGAATACAGCAGTGTTGGCTTTTCACACCGAGTCACAGACACCCAAAAACCCAAGATTGGTATTTTGGCTCCACTGTAATGACCTGTACCGGGAATCTACAGCCTGGTAAAATAAACTTTAAAAGGCCAAACAAAGCAAAGCTCTGATATCTTTCCAAAGAAAATCTTTTAGAAATAAATTAAAAAGGAGGAAGAAAACTACAGTACACTCACCAGGCGTGTATTAACAACAGGAAACAGCAATGCCAACAGGGCCCCGTTCAGCATATGCATCTGCAACCTTAGAAAAAAGATGGGATACTCTTTTCACAGATGGAAATCCAATGCAGTGCTTTCGCTTATTTTATGCAGTATCTCTTCAATAAAAGGTAGCAAGACACTTAAAATTCTTTTGGCTTGAATTTGAATAAAGTCACTGTTAAATGCAATTAATGAGATACTGGTAAATGCAATAACCAGGACAAAAACATATCTTTAAATACACATTTGCAGAAGTCCCTAAAGTAGGACTGCTTTCTATAATAAGCTTTGGATTCCTAGAAAGCCTGGACTGTCCATAATCCTGTTCATGATGCAAGCTGCTAGATAGCTGGAATTCTGCTGTTCACTTGTCTTCCAGAGCTTAAAATAGCACATTTGATAATGGTTTTTATCCTGCTTAACCCTACAAATGTATAGCTTCAAAGAAAAGCTTCAGGATTTTGAAAGAAGTCCCTTAAATAAAAGAACTACATTTATCAAAATGCAACAGCAAGTCCTAAGCAAAGCATGAGGCAGGAAAATAGTGTTATAATACTGCATTTTATGCAGCTTTCAACCACCTTTTTCTGAACCACTGTTGCATCACAGGAACAGAAAAATTGTATCTTATATAAAGGAGACTAAAACAGTTTGGATACTAAGTAAAGCATAAACTGCCACCAACCACTGAACCACTGTCTGTCATAAACTGTTAGGAATTTAAAAGGAATTTGATGGGGGGGGCGAGGGGGAGAAGGTATTACAATTTTAAAACAGTCTTTCAAACATAATTTATACGCTGTCAGGGTGTCAAAATAGAAATACTCAATCTGAAAAAAAAAACCCCAACAAATATTGTGGCCTCTGCTCTATAACCTGTAGCAAAGATTTCCTGGACACCAGACATACTCTTCACACTCTCCAAGATGGAGATGCTGACACAGGATCTCTATAATCCCAGCACAAAAAATAAGGAACAACAGGGAAAAGTTGCAGAGAGAAAGTAGGAGACATTCCCCCAGCATCATTTTTCCAGTAAATGTCCAGAATTAGACAAGAAAGAGCCGAATTTTATGTCAGGGTGGCAATTACAGCCATTCCTGACTATCATTCTGCCTGGAAAGTCCCCTGACCCTCCCCACAACACAACTAATTCAGTCCTTTAGCTTCTCACTGGACTCTGCTGCTGTAGCCCATTAGAGCCTCCTGCACATTAGAAACTCCTGTGGTTCCTAAAGTAACATGCAGTGTTTTAGGAAAGATCGCATGGATTTGAGAAATACCCAGGTCAGCAAGAATTTGCATTAACTATTTAACCTTACCCATCCACAATTTTAAAATTAGACCCATACCATATGCATGGCCTTCAACGAGGCCCAGTTACTAATTTTTACTGAGGATAATAAAAAGGTACAAGGCCCATGACACAAATTACAGCAGCTCATACCTCAATCTGCATTAACTCCTCAGTTACTGAGCTAATTCATGTTCAAAAGTGAGGCCAAATCTACCAGTAGAGAAGCACCAAGGGTATGTGGCCCAACACTCACCCTTTAAGCCCTGACTCCTTTCAATGTATCATTTTCCAATCCAACCAATATGCATTTCCAACTGGACATAAAACTTAGTATTTTATGACTTCAGCAGTGATTAACTTCTAAAATACATTATGGAAGTAGACAGAAACATAGTAAGGAAGAGGTATTACCTGAAGAGAATCATTGCAGTCCGACATGGGGGACAGGCGAGAAGAAAAATCTGAAATGTTAGAAACAAATTTAAATTAATGATATGACCTCTTTTAGACTCCATTTTCTAAATCTTTCCTACCCAGTTCTGTATGTCACAAATCATTGCTAACCAGAACTGTTTTACAGCAGAGCTAGAAAAGACTAAAAATCTTGAAAAAAATTAAAAGGTCTCACATTACCCACATAAAAAGGATTTAAGCAGTATGAGTAGCACCAAGAGTTCAGTGCCTAAAAAACAAGTCAAATTATAGCCTGTTGTTATTGGCATTATAGAAGGCCTCTCAAAAAGCAGATTACTGTATTACCAATCATTTTCTACAGCAGCTCCCTTAACCCTCAATCATGATAAGGTCCTTGCTGTGCTAAAGACCAGCATTTACAACAACACCACTGCCTTTCCCTTCAGCAGTGCCAGACCCAGCTCTTGAGGATCCCACACAAGATGCCTGTCTCTGAAAGCCTCCTAATACTTCCCAAAATAAGGCTACCACAGTATCTGCTCTGTGTGTAAGCTTAGCAGTCACCTTTAAATACTTCCATTGTCACACTCAGAGTATTTGGAAATTACTGTAAAAATGTCACCAGCTATTAGCCACCGAAAGTACCTGAATACAACGGGAGCAGCATGTTTGTTTTTCTTTTCAGGCCATACTCCTACCATAAATAGGACCTCATCTAAATTTTTATGTAATAAAGTTCTGTTGATTTGCTAAAATGCCCCATCTAAATTTAGAGGACAAGCATCATCCTTTTATATACTGACACAAGATATATGTTGCTTTTGAAGCACAGTTAATACTGTCATGAAACAAATTCTGCTCTTCCAAGGTAAATTTTTTTCTCTTTCCTACATCTTAAAAAAAAAACCAGAAAACTACAGATTGAGCTTTTTCTTTATATGCACTAATTAATCAAACCAGAAATGTGTCTTAATCACACCAGACATTTCTTTTTCTAACACACTGCAGAGTGCTCCAACTACTCTATAGAGCAAAAGCTACAATACACATTTGTACACTGAATCTCATTGCTGAGGGTAAAAACCAGCTCACATTTAAAAAGGATGGCACTGCTACAAAGACTGAGATGGACATACCAATTTAAAACACTTCACTACCATGGAGACAGGCAAAGGAGAGAACAAGATTCACAGCTGCTTATTTTTACTTCAACTCTACTGAAAGAAACATTTTTAGGAACTGATGAGGGAAAAATAAATATTTAACACTTTAAAGCATGCAAATCCGTCTGTTAAGGGGGATCTTTCACAAAATAAGCCTGACTTCCATTTTTTATGACAGCAGAAAAATCATAACCAGAATGTTTATGTTAAAACTTCAGGATTATGGAAGAGATCTTCAAATGCTTCAGCTGTCAGCTGCGAATTTTCTCCTTTGTCTAACATTTCCTAGTTTCTTTGACGTGTTAGCATGCCACGTTTCACCACCAGTTTTAGTAATCAACATTTCAAAAATCAAGACTAGTAAAAATCTCAAGAGCTGTTCTCAAAAGACACGAACAGTCTTTTGTTCAAAATGGAATAGCAATACTGCCTCTGAACTAAAGAAAAACACCTCTTCAAATACCTATTAATTGAATGTTATTGCCTCACTCTATGAGCTAAATAGGGAGAGCTCACTGATTTTGTTTGTTTGGTCCTATGAGTTGGCTGGATTTCCGCTTTTCTTTTATTCCAGAACGTTCCAAATCTCTCCAAAATACTACACATAAGAGCTGCCCTTGAAAGTATTTTAATGGCACTAATTTTCAGTCAGTACACTGCGGCAGAGAGCGAAGTCAAAACTTGTCATGAAAAGCTTTTCTTCCACCAGCCTCAGCCCCGCTGAGACAGAAACATGAATAACAAAGATCATCTTGTTTGATCAACAAACTAAAGAGACAAAAGACAATTCAAAAGGTAGGAGGGAAGAACAGAACAAGTCACACAACTCTACCATTCCAGATTCAGCATCACACGAAGTAGCACTCCTGGGATCAATGGGAACACTTACAGATGTCTGAGTAGTTCCTGGCAGAAGACAGCCAAGCACAGGACGAGCCAAACCCCTGCATCTCACACACACAGCACGGATTTCATTTACCTTTCAAACCCACAGCTTTGTCTGTCCCTGAGCCGCCTGTTTGATTTAGTATCTCCTTGCAGCAGACTGGAAACACATCTTTCTTTACAAACACTGCAGTCATGATCTCTTAACCAGATCATAAATTGATTGGTTTAGTGTACTATTTCAGAATGAAAACTTCAAGAGGTTAGATTTTAATTTCTACTGGCAATATTCAGAGCAACGTGAAAAATTCAGGGAAATTGGATTATTCCAAAATTGGAATGAATTTAAAACAAAAGGAAAAACAAAGTGAGACAGAGACAGGCTTTGGTCAACCTGCACTGAAATAAAAATTTTCACCTTCCTAGGTGTATCCAAGTACTCTCCAGAGGAGGAGAGATTAAAAGGTATGTTTAAAAGGCTAAGATACAGTAAAGTACACTTACCCAAGGCTGGTAGGGTTAAGTGTACTTTACTGTACTAAAGAAAACCATCCATTTTCCCACACAAGGCAAGGAACATCTAAGCAGATAGACAATTTAAGAGATGTAAAAGTCTTGGTTAATTAACTCGAAACTTGATTTTAAAGTAAGTTCAAAACAATCATTCTATCATTTATCAGGAAGTAATAGTTTAACAGCTCCATCTTATAGCTTTGACTTGGCATTTCTTTCCGTATAAACTATCAATTCAGCCATCATTTGCTTTCTAAAAGGTAACTGAAATAAAAATCATACCTATGGTTTGACAAGCTCAGACTGCCACATCTGAAAAAGATGTTACATTCCAGTTGCTAAACAGCAGCAAGTTGAATGTATTTAATATTTTAGCATAAAAACCACAGCTGCCTTACTGTCACACAGCTTTAGGGATTAATGTGTCCTGTGGAATTGCCAACCTAACGTTAAGGATACTCATGATTCTGCAACACTGCTGGCAGAGCATCAAGAAATACTTCAATAAAAGTAGCTTCTGTGTTACATAAACCAGATTCTGGGAGCACAAGAAGCTGCCTGTCCCTGCTTTCCACCTCCCAGCTTCCCAGGGATGGATGAGGTGTAGCAACTTCAACAGTTTCCATCCTCTACAATCTGATGTATTGTAAATTATATATGTTCATTAAGACAGATATTCTAGATTAATCTCCCCTTCCACAGGCTTAGTTTTTTAATCGATAAACCTATACTCACCCTCTAAAAGGAAAGAGCCTTAGGTAAAAGATTTCTAGATTTCTCATAATTTTAGGATTAATTATTAAACACATGACTCAGGTCTTTCTATCTGTGCATTAGCTTTAGTTATCACATCTTAGTATTTCAGAGGTCACTGGAGTTACTTTTCCTTTTTCCCCTCACCACTTTCTGCACCAGTCCTTCACTAGTAGTGGGTTACTTCATTCCCCATTCTTAAATCTGTGCTTTAACAAAACCTGACAATCAAAAAAGCAAAAGTCCAATTTCTTAAGAAAATCTAAATTCAGTGTAAATTAAATTAACTTACATCTAAATCTGTCAGTGGCACTGCGGGAACTTGCAAGAGTTCACAATAAAATTTTTACATGCACTTTCATATACATTCACTTTTGTTACTTCTTCCTCCCAAACAAGATGTTTTGCATCAGTTTCCTACAGAAGCAGAATCATCACAGCAAAGTCCTGCTCTACTTGGCCTCAAGTCACCAATACCTTTTTTCCTGTCACAGTTCAAAAATCCCTCAATTTGGAGGATTTTACAACAGAAATTTGTGATCTTTAGAAACAGCAGGATAATAAATATCTAATAGCCTTACTACAGCAAATTTTTGCCAAAGAAACAGAAACAGTAACACAATCCATAAAAAACTAAGGCATACAACACCACATTCCTGATAATTTACTTGATAATTTAAGTTGGCATTTCGCTAACCAACAAAGTATCACAATGCAAACAATTAAATTGGCTTGACACTAATTACTTGGCCATCTGAATAAACATAAACCCTCACCACATCAATCTAAAGCCCTGAGGAAGTGTCACCAGAAACACGAGTCCCATTACACCCTTTGCAGGTTTCAAATTCATGGCTCAGGACTCATGAACATCAACATGGTTCAAATTGCTGCAGGGAATGTACAACCCCTGCAGTAAAACTCATCATCTGTGACTGGCAGTGTAAACATTTACAGCAGGGCAAGGAGGCAGCACAGAAGGGTTTCTTAGACTGGAAGTCATGAGGTGAAAGACATCCCAATCCCTGGAATTTATAAGGTGTCCAGTATGGTCACTGCTGCTGTTTTAGTCCACCACCCCACTGAGGTTCCCAAAGGCCTCAGGCAGCTACTCCTGAAACATCAGTTTAAGTTACCAGCAAACAACCTACATGAAATGGTGGGTGAAACTGCCAAATAGGATAAAAAAAAATCCTTCCTAAAAATATATTGCAGCCAACAGTGATACATTATAACACACTGAAACAATATAAATAGCTCTGTTCTCAAAAAAAAAGAAACTAAACAGAAGAGGAAAAAAGAAAAGAGGCCTGTCCCTCTCTAACATGTTGCTCAAACTACATATGTCGCCCTTTGAATTATATTTGCTTTAAATCTGTGATGATCTCATCAAAACAAACCAATATCTGGTTACTTAATCATTCATCTAGTGGCCTTTAGATGATAACCCTCAGTGTAAATATTTGGGGTCAGAGAAAGTTAAGCTTTTTCATCTACAATTTCCAACCATTCAGTTCCTACTCCGGTTTAGAGAGCAAGATTACCCTGTGTCAGTTCCCTGCTTGTTATATTCTTTTCTCCTAAGAATATCCAGAATAAAGCAGAGAATTACCTGGCCTCAAGCACAGAGGCATTTCCAAATTCTAGCAACTTCAAAGCAAAGGCTTAACCAAGAGCTTTAGACTCCAATTCCTCAGCTCAAACATTCACCAGCACCACGACACATTCCCGTA